TAGCACCTTGGGGGTTAAGGATTTAACATATGAATTTTAGGACGGACACAATTCAGTCCATAGCAATCCCCAATACTTCTGCATATTCCGAGATAAACCCTGTCCTTGTCCTTTCTCATGACTCAAATATGATTCTTTTTTTTTTACCTGCTTCTTTAGATAGCATCACTGACTCGATGGACTTGAGTTTGAGCAAATTCTGGGAGATAGTGAGGATGGAAGCCTGGTGTGCTGCAGTTCATGGAGTTGCAAAGAGTTGGACATGAATGAGTGACTGAACAACTGAACAACAACAACATAAAACCCTAGATTCCAAAAAAAAACACAAAACAAAACAAACAAAAAAAACCCTAGATTCCTTTCCTTGCCATTGAGAAGCTTCTCTTTAAAAGAAAATCTTCCGTATTGCAAAAGCCTGGAGAAAACAATCTCCTTTAGTGTCCCATGCATTTTGCCTTTCACATGACTAAGTAGTAGAGTATGATTAATACGGTAGAGCATTAAAGGTTCAGAACCTGAGCACTGGTGTGCCCCCTGTTTGTTCCTGCTCTAGGCCTCAGGGAGACCCAGAGTCCCTACCCACAGGACTTTGACCCTTGGTCACACCTCATCTTTCTGTGGTAGGTTCCCAGGAGGAGGATGCAAAATGGGCCTGGAGGGTCACTATCGGATCTGGATTCTCACCTAGTCTCCTTTTAGGATACCACTTTGCCCCAATTCTCCCGGGGCTTCTGTCTCTAACTCTCTGTACTTATGTTTACTGGTACCACTTTTCTTCACACATCTCTTTCTTTGAGTAAAGAATTGTACTACCCTCAGCGTTCTCCCCATCTATCCCAGTGGTATCTCCCACAGAGGAGCGTACCAACTCGGGTCTTCACCACTGCTAGCCCAATAGCGTCTATCTTTAAGGACTGCTTTACTCCATCTCCATAATTTTATCTTCTTGAGAGGACTACTACCCACTACTTTCTCCCCATCTCTCCAGTGATACATACCGATCTCTAGAGGAGTGTATCATTCCCCGCTTTGCCTCTCTTCTTCCCGGTAATAGTTTCCAGGGATTGCTGCACTATTCCTGGCCTCCCTCCCACATCTCCCCAATGGTATCTCCCCACAGGGGTCCATGGTCCTCAGCTGTATGTTTGTACCTATGAGTTCCCAGGAACCTCCCCAAAATGTGAGTATAACTTGCCCATCACTAGCCTTTATACAAAAGGCTCTGCTCTTATTGCAAATTTTCAAATTCTTCCCGAAATTCCATATTTTCTAAACTTTCTCTGCTATAGAGTGGTAACCTTTGTAAAGATGTCTGCTCCCTTGATGATCTGATTTATTGGCACAGCCATTTTTCTTTCTTTTTAAAATTTTTTTATTTTTTTAAAGTTTTGTTTTTTTGTTTTTTTTTCCATTTATTTTTATTAGTTGGAGGCTAATTACTTTACAATACTGTAGTGGTTTTTGTCATACATCAACATGAATCAGCCATGGATTTACATGTATTCCCCATCCCGATCCCCCCTCCCACCTCCCTCTCCACCCGATCCCTCTGGGTCTTCCTAGTGCACCAGGCCCGAGCACTTGTCTCATGCATCCAACCTGGGCTGGTGATCTGTTTCACCCTAGATAATATACATGTTTCGATGAGCACAGCCATTTTTCTTGCCAGCCACACAGTCAATGCTGTAACAGAACACGACTATCAGTGATGCTATGGGCTACTAACACTGATGAAGAGCAATTGCCCGGTGATCAGAAATGGTGGGGGTCAAGGACCAAGAAAGTAGTTGTTGGAAGTAGTTGTGACTGGTTTTGGAAATGACAGGCAAATCTCACCAGAATAAGAATTCTGTTCTTAACATCAGAGCAGGGGATGAAAGAGGGTAGAGGGTTCACTCAGAATGAAAGTGAGACAGGGCTAGTGGTCTGTGGGCAAAGTTAAACGTGTGAGTATGGGCTTTGTAAAGACGTGCATTTACTGGGTGATTACTTGGAGGGGTGCTGTGATATGACCAATAAAAGTCTCCGGGGGTACGTGGTGAGAGGTTTGTAAGCTGAGTGATAGCATCTGTGGAGTGAATGACAGGGGATGTGGGGTGAGTGATAGGGTGTGTAGGGTAATTGATGGGTGTGTTTTTTGGGGGTGTGTGTGATGATGCATTTGTGGGGTTTGTGATGGGAGGTCTCTAAAGTCAGTGACTGGGGAATCTGTAGAGTGAGTGATGAGGGTATTTGGAGTGATGGGAGGGTCTGTAGGGTGTGAAATGGGGGGTGGGTCTCTGGAGTCAGTAATGGGTGAGAATGAGTGTTGGGAGGTCCTGTGAGGTCCCTGATAGGGTGGTGGTGTTGAATGATGGAGGTCTGTGGGGAAAGCATGTTCTTTCCCATTTTTTGGCTATAGTTATGGCCATTTTACTAGCTGGCACTTATGGATTTCTAGCCTGATGATTTGGTGAACTTTCAATCTAACTTTTCCATGCCATTTCCAACTTTTCTGTTTTCTTCACTCAACCATTCTGCCTTTTTAGGCCACTGCCCTCACTCCACAAGTCAGACATGACCAAGTTCCAGGTAAGTTGTTATTTGCTCCCCTCTGTGCGACCTGTTAGGACACTTAGAGGCAAGGAACCAATAGTCATTAAGAACACAGACTCTGGAGCCAAAGGGTCCTTAATAGCTTTCTAAGTTTAGGCAAGTCTCCAACTTCTCTGCACCTTAGTTTCCCCATCTGTGAAATGGGGATGATGATGAAGAGAGTGGTAATAATAATACCTACACCATTATGGTTGTTGTGAAAATCAATTGAGTGTTTAGAACAATACTTGGCACACATATAATAAGCCTTATGTTTTTAGTATATTATTATTAGTTAGGGTTAGAAAAGTGGAGCAAAACCAAAGCAAAATTGAAATGTATATATGGAGATCATAGGATCTTTCATAATTATGTTGAACTAGTTATTTTCTGAGCTTCTTGGAAGCCATGACATAAAGGGACGGAAAAACACTCACTTGCTTTATTTATCTCAACCATATAGAAAAAGTGAGCCACTTCTCAGAAGCAAAGATTTCCTGGTATTGAGGTTTGAAGACATTTTTCTGATAGTTCAGCCTCATCTGCAATCTCGTGATAAATGCAGGGATAACATTGCTCTATGTGTGACTTAAAATGTCTTCATGACAGTCAAAGGTGTCCTGCTGGGGCAAAACTAAAAAGATGCAACTCTTCAGGAAACCAAAGGTCTGCCAGCACAAGGGGCTCTCTTATATTCTGGCTCAATTCAGGGAGATGAATGAGGTGAGATGAATGATGGTGAGGAAGAATCAGTAAACCCCATGATATAAAATTAGAGATCTAGAGATAACCACTAAAGGAATAACAATGATGTACTATAAATGTAAATAAATAGAAGGGATACATGATCAGAACAATGTGAAGGAAACACTAGGGCATCAAATCCAGTTTTCAAAAGTAACAACAGTTGATAATGCCTGTATTTCTTATTTATTTATTTAGTTGCACCCAGTGTTAGTTGGAGCACTTGTGGTCTTTGATCTTCCCTTGTGGCATGAGGGATCTTTTCAGTTGCCACATGTGGCATCGAGTTTCCTCATTAGGGATTGAACCCAGGCCCCCCGCATTGGGAGTGCAGAATCATAGCCACTGGACCACCAGGGAAGTCCCAGTGCTAGTATATCTGCCCTGACCTATTCTGTGGTCAAGATTTTGGCTTTTTCTGTGTGTGGACCTTCTACCCTTTCTGAATTTGATCATGCAATCTTCCCAGAAATACTATGAGCTACCTGATAGGCTTTTAGAAGATCTGCTTTTTACTTAAATTCACCAGAGTTTATCTATGCTTCATTTGATAAATAAGCATCTCATTCAGAAACTGGTATCCAGAGTGATGGTACCTTTTATTGGATCCTCAAGGAAATGTGAGATTTGGTTATCTAGGCTGGTTGAGGCTGAAGGCAGGGGAAATCCAGGTGGCATTAAGGAAGGGGACTCTGGCATTTCTCAGCATGCAGTGCAGATAGCTGCCTTAATGATCATCTGTGCTTATCCTGAATGAAGAAAACACTGAAAACAAGGCTTTGGGTAGTTGAATATCCACTGAAACCAAAGAGTACAAAGAATGTGAGAGACTGCTTCCTCATGGGGGTGGCTGCTTCCAGTGGGGCTGGCCAGCATAAAGGGAAAGAATGGCAAGTTCAAATGCCTAAATTCTCTGCTCAAAATGGACTGTAAAAATAATTATTACCTTGTGCAGCTGTTGAATTCCTGGCCTAAATTTCCAGTTTGTCATTTGAAACTTTGGTTATAGATCATGAAAGGAGGAGTTGGGGGCTGAGAGTTAGAATGGTAATATGTGAGAGAATGTGAATTCTTCAAAATCCAAATTCCTACTGAGCTTCCTGTGCAAGCTGAAACCAATTCATTTTCCCCTGAAGATTCTGTATTTGCCTTAATTAAACACCCTATAGTTACTTCAACTTGGAGTGATACTTTTTAAGGGAAGCCAATTTTCATACCTCCCTACTCCACTCTTCTACCCCCAGACTTAGAACTGCTTTGTGTACCACTTTATGTACCTTACAAACATTAATTCATTTAATATTCTCAACAACCCCAGGAGATAGTTACTACCACTATCATCCTCATTTTGCAGATGAGGAAACAGAGGCACAAAGAAATTAAGTGCCTTACACAAGGCAACCCAGCTAGTAAGTGGTAGAGATGGTATCTGAACCCAGGAGAACCTATATTCTTAATCACTACATTATCTTCCACCCCCACCCCAGGTGATCTCATGTCCCCTGATTAGAGCTTTGAATATATGGAGGGAGTGATTGAATAGGGGCACCTTCAGGCACTGAAAAAATGAAGAAAGCCAGACATCAGAGGTTGTTTGCATTGTTTATAGATATCATCCTTTATCATATCCACAGAAGAAAGAACAGAAAGGAAAATAAAATCTCCATTCCTAGGAAGCTGAGTCATGAATCAACTTTTTTGTTAGGTTTTGCATTCATATGACATCCCCTGAGCCATTCAGATAAATCATGGCCATAACAGTGTTGCTTCCAAGAATCCCTGGGAAATGAAGGAAGAGAGGGAGGATGAAGTGGACAGGCCGATGGAGTGACAGTGGCACTTTCCCAGCTACCCAGGGTCCAAGCCATCCCCATGAACATACCAAGCACTCATGCCATTCTCTGAGGACACTACTTCCTTGGCACACATAATGTCATCCAGAATATGGCGGTTGAGCAGTTCTAAAGGGAAAAGGTGACAGAGTGATCTGGGGTACTAGGAACAGGGTGACAGTATATAAGGGACCAGGGGTTCTAGGTTTCTTGGGACCGGAATATCTTCAACCACTATATTGCCTGATTCTAGATGACCTTGATTTTCTTATCAGCCTGTTATGGATTGCATCAACTACCATGTTGACTGGTTCTATAGAACCTTAACCCATTGACTGATCCCAGGTGATTTTGACTGTCATGTTGGCTGGTTATATATAACCTCACCCACCATATTGACTGGTCCTGGACAACCTCAGACTCCATGTTGGCCAATGCTGTATGACTTTGACTGTCATTTTGTGTGGTTATGAATGATCTCAACTGCAGTGGATGTTGGCTTGTTGGGAAACCACTCAACTGCAAGGCTGGTCAGTCCTGGGGACTTCAAACACTATGTTGTCAGGTTCTGGATAACCTCAACACCCATTATTACTGGCTACAAGTGACCTCAGTCTCCATGTTGACTAGTCCTGTTCAACTGCAGCTACCATGGTGCCTGGTCCTAAATGATCTCAACTGCTATGGTGGCTGGATGAGGATGACCTTAACTGTCATTCTGACTAGTTAATGATCTCAACCACCATGTTGACTAGTCCTGGATGACCTCAACCTTCGAGTGGACAAGTCCTGGGTAACCTCTTCTGCCACTGTGGCAGGACTTGGACAACTTCAACCTCCATTTGGGCTGGTTCTAGATAACCTCAGTCTCCATTTTGGCCAACCCTGAACAACTTCTACTGCTATTCAGTTTTGTCCTCAACAATACAACGCTCTTGTCTGGAAAATTCTCTCCTTTCTGCACAGAGGTACCTTGTTTCTGTTCCTACAGACAGATAGCAGCTTCTTTCCTCCAGGCCTGGACAACCCCAATCCCAAATCAGGACAGTTTCCCCCTCCTGATTCCTAGTCCTAGAAAATGGCAGCCTCCATTATAGGTGAAGATTGGGAGCTCTGAGTCTTCCTGACCTAGACAGCACCTCAGGGCAGTCTGGGTAAGTATACAGGCTGGTTGGTATCTGCAACAGTGCAAGTAACTCTGCTCCTTTCCCTATAATTCTTCTGCTTGTTACTCAAGATTATGGCTTAGGCAGTCTTGCCCTCTGCATGTTGGGGAGTGGGGCCAGGCAGGGCTTCAGTGTGTCCTCAGTGTTGCCTCACCATGACAGTCCATGTGGCAGAGGTTCTCGGTGGGTGTAACACCATTGTAACACCACCAGGCGGAATTCAGCTGGAAAATGCCATATTCGCTGCTGCCATCGGGATTGTGGTTCACGAAGGAAGTGTCAAAGCCACTCTCATAGTTTGCCATGCACAGCCCTGGAGCAGTGAAGGAAAAGGTAGCAGAGAGGCATGAGTCCTGGGAATAGGGAAGAAGGTAGGAGGAGGGAGTGGGGCAGGCATGGTTTTCCTGTCAGTTGTGGGGGTGATGATCTTGGTTTGGTGGTGGTGTTGATGTTGGTGATTCTGGAAAGGTGTCAGTAATGGCGGTGGTGATGGCATTCATGGTGATTTTAGCAGTGGTGACATTGATGATAATGATGTTGGTGTTAGTAGAGATGAGGGTAAATGGTTGGGAAGGCAATGATGATGAAACTAGAGTTAGTTAAACTACTCATAACAGTCAGAGGGTGACCAAGAGGATCATTCCCTAGCCTGGGGAGATAACAGATAGCAAGGGGGTGGGGTCTGGGTCTGAGTGTGGTGGGCAGCTCACTGCATGGATGGGATTTGGGGCAACTGGGGTCTCACAGTCTCCAATGGTATAGCCGTTGAAGCCCTCAAGGCCTGCCGCTTCCAGCTTCTTTGCCAGGTCACAGCGTTCGTAGATCTTGGCCTCCGCATTGGCAGCCATCAGGATCACCAGGATCACCACAATAGTGCTTGAGACCTGCATTATGACAGCCACAAGTCTTCCTAACTTACTCCCCTGCTCCAGACTCACCCTGCAGTGTGCAGAACTAGGGGTTACTGGAACTATGGGCTTTATGAGCAAAGAGCTAGGTGATAGATTCTAGAACACAGAGGCCAGAGAGGGGGTTGGACAATTCATCATCTTCCCCTGTGCCAGCTCTCTTAAAGACACACACAAAGAAAAAAGAAAGATACTGATATATGCACAGAGGTGGAAGGAGACAAGGACAGGGAGAAACCCAGAGATGTCAGAAAGGGATGCAGGGAGAGAGGGGTTTGGGACACCCAAGGGACTGACAGGACCCAAGTGCTAGACCTCACACTCAGCATACATTCCCCTATGTTCCTTAACACTGTCCCACTCTACTCCCATTAATCATGCTCTACCACTTGGTTACCTCCATTTCCCCTCTGCCCCTCATCACCTCCATTTCCCCCACTCCGTTGAGTAGTCAGCTCTAGTCACTACACCATACCTACTACCACCTTGGATTCCTCATGCTCTATAAAATATGATTACTTGGGATGGGGAATACATGTAAATCCATGGCTGATTCATGTCAATGTATGACAAAAACCACTACAATATTGTAGAGTAATTAGCCTCCAACTAATAAAAAAATAAATGGGAAAAAAATTTTTAAAAATATGATTACTGTGCCCTCACCCGCTGCTCCACATTACCTCCATTTACTCATTCTCAGCACCTCCTTCACCTCTCTTCACTTAATGTGCTCTGTTCCACCCTCATTTACTGGGATCTGCCCCACGTTACACCTACTTAATCAGACTCTGCCCCACATTATATATTACATGTACATGTTCATTCTACTGCTTTTTCACACCCATCCTCATTCTAGCTTTTATTCCCTTGTCCACTTACACTGCCTTGTATCCATTTATATTCATTCATGCTGAGCCTTGTGTTTCTGTAATTCCGTAACCCTCTACTCACTATAACCCAAGCTCTCTCATATCCTTTCCTTCTTTACCTCCTTTCACTCCTACTCAGACTCTTATTTCCTACTTTAACCTTCACTGCCTGACACCGCATCAAATGACTCCCATCCACTCTCATGTGGCCCATCTTTCAGCTTTATTCATTGACTCTGGGCCTCATTCCCATCTCATTCACTCTCTTTCTGCCCCTTCTTCTTTCTATTCTCTCAAGGGCTGCCCCCATATTACCTGCATTTCCTGGAACTATATTACTCTCAAACACTAGCCCAAGTTATCCACACATACTCACTCTATGCTTGATCGCCTCTGTTCTTTCTCATTTTTCACTGCCTCTATCTTCACTGCCTCCATTTACTCGCATGCTGCCTCTCATTATCTCATTAAAGTCACTCCCCAATGTAACCCCTGTTTCCACTCATCACTCTCGTTCTGCTCCTGATTCATGTTGAGTTGCTCCCACTCCATCCCACAGTACCCTTGTTGAGTCACACTCTGTCTCAGATTTACCACTTTTTACTCACATTGGGCCCCATTTCCCCCATTTTACTCACCTTGGGCCAAGTGACCTTCACCCTCTCTCCCTTTGCTGTATAATAGCTAGTTCCTCACCTTCTTCTGCTCTTTACTTCCATCCTCTATCACTCTGCCCATCTTTACCTCCATTCACATACATGCTTCAGCTCATTCACCTGGGCTGATTCTCACTGAGATCCCTGCCCATTACTGGAATGCTACCCTGCATTATCCCAATCTAATCCCAGTCAGTCCAATCTAATTCAATATGCTAGCAAATTTGGAAAACTCAGCAGTGGCCACAGGACTGGAAAAGGTCAATTTTCATTCCAATCCCAAAGAAAGGCAATCCCAAAGAATGCTCAAACTACCACACAATTGCACTCATCTCACATACTAGCAAAGTAATGCTCAAAATTTTCTAAGCCAGGCTTCAACATTACAGGAACTGTGAACTTCCAGATGTTCAAGCTGGTTTTAGAAAAGGCAGAGAAACCAGAGATCAAATTGCCAACATTCGCTGGATCATCGATAAAGCAAAAGAGTTCCAGAAAAACATCTATTTCTGCTTTATTGACTATGCCAAAGCCTTTGACTGTGTGGATCACAATAAACTGTGGAAAATTCTGAAAGAGATGGGAATACCAGACCATCTGACCTGTCTCTTGAGAAAACTGTATGCAGGTCAGGAAGCAACAGTTAGAACTGGACATGGAACAACAGACTGGTTCCAAATAGGAAAAGGAGTATGTCAAGGCTGTATACTGTCACCCTGATTATTTAACTTATATGCAGAATACATCATGAGAAACACTGGGCTGGATGAAGTGAAAGCTGGAATCAAGATATGTGTGTGTACAAGGTGGTACAAGGTGGTAGAGAAATTATGTTTACAGGCTGGAAGAGGCCAGAATAACATGGGCCCTAAAGGTCCAGATCCTCCTATTTTCCACCTTCTGATGCATTCAGAGAGTTGACAAGTTTTGTATCCAGGAGGTGCAAATCCTTAAGATTCCAAGAGACCTGAGTTACTTCTCTGCTTTCTCTCTTTGCTTTGTCTGTTAGGAAGCTCCATATGTATTCCTGGCCAAAAAAAAAAAATGTTGCCTTGTTTTTAATGGTTCTGGAATAAGGACCCTCAGATACTTTCTAGAAGTTCTGTGGTATACCAAATAAACAAAGTGTTATTGGCTAGAAGTTAAAGATCTGATCTTGGGAACCTGTGTGACATCGGGCAAGTTACTTAGTATCTCTGGGACTCAGTTTCCTCACCTGACAAGAGAGAGGACCACAGGATTGTTCACAGAGAATGGGGAGTATCTGAGGCAGGTAGTATGTCCTTCACACAGTGCCTGGCACACAGGAGATACTGAGCTAGGTCTGAGCCTCCATTATCACTTACTGGGCCCGTTGGCAGAAGCCTCCTCACTATTCTTCCTGTTTTCATCCTTGCCCTCTGCAATCTGTTATCCACAAAGCAGCCTGCAGGTCATCTGTTTATTTTTTCCTTCTTATTAGTAAAAGTTTTATACATAGACACGTCTAATTTTATCTTAATCAACAACATCATCATCATCACTTATCTATTAGCACTTGCTATGTGCCAGGGATTGTTCTAAACTATTTACAATTAACAGTTCATTTGTCACCACATTCTTATATGTAAGTGCTGTCATTATCCTCATTTTATAGATGAGGAAATTAAACCCAGAGGAGTTAAGTCCTGCCCTAGGTTACATAGCTGTTTCTATCATTTTATTTGGTTGGTTGGTTCTGTTTTCTTCCCTGCTGTATTCCAATGAACACTACCAGGCATACAGGAGGTGCTTAAGTAAATTCCTGCGGAGCTCATATTTTAGTGGTGCAAGACAGGCAGTTTAAAAAAAAGTCAAATATACATGTATTTTAAAAGTTAATATATAAGCTAGATTGCTTCAGACTGGATTTTTAAAAATCTGACCCCCCCTCCCCTTAATGGCATCCCATTATGTCCAGAAGGAAATAAGGAGCTCTGTCCCTGGCAGGGGAGGCCTTAGGGCATCTGCAACCCACTCACTTCCCCCTTGCCCACAATTCCTACATTCCCAACACGCTGACGTTGTTTCTGTTCCTCCAATATGCCAAACCAGTCCTACTTCAGGCAGGGCCTTTGCAACAGCCTCACCTTCCACCACAAAGCTCTCTGATTCAGATATTTCTGTGGCTGGCTCCTTTGATTAGTGTAACTGTCACCTCCGACAAAAGGAGATCGTCCCTGCCCATCCCGAGAAAACAGCCTCCCAGCCACTACTTAACACATCCCCTTCATCCCCGTGTGTGTTTATGTACTAGGTCGCCGTTTATTTATTCTTCAGCAGCTTGTTTGTCTGCACACCGTCCTTCAAACGCTAGACTGTAAACTCCCAGCCTTGGCCACTGGATGGAGCCAGTGACTTTTCCCTACTCCCAGCCTTTGTGCACGCAGAACAACTCTGCCACGCATCCCGACTTCCTATTCAATTACACCTGCAAACCTGATGCTGCCCTCCAGGTTCAAGACAGCAAATTCCCGCCTGCTAGCGTTTTCCTTAATTGGGCATTTCCCCTCCCGCAATAAGGAAACCCGTCTTTGGAGTCTTAGGAATGACGACCTCTGTAGATCATAAACACCTGTTCTACACTGCAGCCCTAGAAGGGAGGAGAAGCGGTAGGCGCGGCCATCGCGTCAGAGCAGTGACGTCACCGGAGCGGCCATTTTCCTTCTGCGCCTGCGCTGCGGCTCCATTGCTTTCGCGTCCGGCCGGCGGGAGGGGGCCCCATATTGACTATTGGCGGATGCGGGCTCAAAGGCCCCACTGAGCGTGCGCACACCCGGCCACTGCAGCCCTGTGGGCTGCGGAGCCCGTGTTGGTCCCAAAGCGGAAGTGCTTCTCCGGGGCTAGTTCTCGTAACTGTCTCCTCTGCACCGAGCAGAAAATCTGTTCTCAAGAAAGAGGTTGAGGGGGCGAGTGGTAGGAATGATGGGCTGAGTGATGGGGAGTTCTGGGGAACGAATTAAGCAGGTTTGGGGGGTCACTGACGTGGGAGGTTGTGGAGTGAGTGATGGTGGACCAAGAGGTCAGCGAATGAGGGTTTGTGGGCTCAGTTATAGACAAAGTTATGGGGCTAGTCAGGGTTGAATGGGGCTTACTAAATATTGACTTTTACACATTTTTAGCACAGTGACCTGCGCTAAGGGTTTATACGCATCCTCAAGCTTCTGCCTAGGCGCCCCCACCTCCTGCCTGTATCCCCTTTTCCGAGCCCCCTAGGTAGGGGCCAGTTTTGAATGTTCCAGTTGAAGTAAATCTGCACCCGAGGGCTTCCTTCTGACTCCTGGGCAAGACGGCCCCAGTGAGGTGAGGAGAAGCAAGAAGAGATACCTGAGAGTACTCACCCAGTAAAGGGCCTCGCCCAGAGTTTGGGGCTTGGGAAGGTTGGGCAGGGACTGGTGGTGTGGAGTCTGGGGGGGATCTGGCTTAAAACGCATGG